CATGTAAAATTTAATCAAATGAAACTTATTTAAAGTTTAAATTTATAAACAGGGCTGCACATGAGTGATCAAAAAAGAAAAAGCGCATCAGATGGAATATCATAAAGCTCACCTGAGTACCTCAGATTGTAGCTGAGATTGTGAAAACAACAGCTAGCAGGGCTCTAGAGCGCCACCAGTTGGGTCACAAATGTAACCTGATTTCTTAAATCAATCAATCAATCAATCAATCAATCAATCAATCAATCAATCAATCAATCAATCAATCAATCAATCAATCTATCAATCAATCATTCACCTGTTTCCTTCAAGATCCGTTCAAAAGATTCGCCATGGTTCAGATAAGAATTGGGCCCATGTTTGTTTGTTTGTTTGTTTGTTTGTTTGTTTGTTTGTTTGTTTGTTTGTTTGCTTTTTACCCTCCCCTCCTCGTGCTAATTAACGTGATTAATATAAGAGGGGGAGAAGTTGGATCGGTGACCCGAGCTCTGACCGAGCGGAACCGGAAAGAATCGCATTAACGCGCGAGACACGAGCATAGAGGGGACGATTAGAAACAACAATGAGTAAACAACACAGGAGGGAAGAGCAAGGCACTCTTGGACTGAACTTATGCGTCCCGCTGCGTCAAAAGGACGGAAAAGACAAAAGTTTCTGAGAGGAAGGCGCTGAAGGAGGCTTTAATCAGACATTTCTTATTTAAAACATGAATAAAATCATTAGTTTTCAAACTCTTCCTGTTCTGTCTGAGAGAATAATGATCACAAGAAAAGTCAGCAAAAATATTGCATAGTTTTATTTTAAACAGCTAAGTAAAAACCACTGACAATTCAGCCATTATTAAGTTTTAAACACTTTATAACTGAATAATAAGACATTTCAGTATATTAAATTAAAAAAAGGAGTCACCTCTTGCCAAGTAGCGAGCCAACAATGAGCTGCCTACTCTGTATTCTCAATTTTTATTCTTATTTCAGATTTCACGTATCAAATATTTGTCAGTTCAGTAAACATAATTTAAACTAACACACTGTTCTTGTCAGTCATATTATTGAGTTCAGATCTGAACAATGCAACAACACTTCAATATTTGTACCTAAATCATGTTTCTGATGGAGACAAAAGTGACAGAAAACAAGCAGAAGCCCAGAATAGCCTGGAGATTAACAAGTTCTATGTGCATCATTTTGGATAAATCAGCATTTGTTGTGTGGGCTGATGGTTGCAGCATGCAGGCTGTTTGAAGCATTGCTCCAAAGTGGAAAACAAAAATGCACAATTGTGCAGCTCTTGTTTTTAATTCCTAAAACACATAAAGTATTTTCACACAAACTTACATTTTTTAAAATTAAATAATCATGATACTTCTGTGAGTTTGAGGTTTTCCTTTTGGTCTCAAAGTTTGTCTTTTTTTTAATGTGAAGCACTTTGGAACCTTTAATTAAAAATAATGGGTTTAGCTGAAAGATTTGATGTTTTTATCACGAAGCATTGTTTTTTTTAAATCTCTGAATTTGATACACTTTGATCCAATTATATGTCACATCTTTTACCTGCTAGGCAACCTCTACTGTCACGTTAATAAAAGGCTGTTCTGCCATTGTCTTCTTTTCCCTCCCAACACTCAGAGCCGGCTGAGCTTACCTCTATATCCCCAGCGTTTCATTCAGAGTGGCACTTTACTGTGGCGACACTTTCTGAGGCCACGCTCCCTGGCTGCTCTGATAGAGGATGGAGGTGGTGGTGGGGGGGCTCAAGGGCCACAGGTTGGATTGAGAAATGGCTGACATTATTTGTCCATGAAACATTATGTGACACAACATGACCCCGGGGCCATTTGTATGTAAAGGTAAACATTTCAGCGTGACGATTGGACAAGAGCAGACAAGGCTCCTGTCAGTGTGGTTTTCTACTTGCAGATGGTGATGTTGCTGCTGCTGCTGTGTGTGTGTGGGTGTCTGTGTGGGTGTGAGGAGTTTCTGTCCACAAGTGTAACCCCTAATCCTCATCTAGCAACGAAGACCCAGATCTGTTGAACAGCTATTAGACAAGAATGGGCCAATATTCTCCTCCAAAATCTGGTCTCCTTAGGTCCTACATGTTTACAGACCTTTACTTTAATTTAACAAGGAAAAAGGCAATTTCTTAGTTTTACTTATAAAGTTATAGCTTTTATAGTTTGCTACTTTTATTATGAGTGAGATGTGGGTTTTGCTAATTATTGTTTTAATTCACATTTTATGCCAACTTTGTTAGTGTCAGAAAGAATCTCCTTCAAACATAGAAAAGGAGAAGTTTTCCCTGACAAATTTTTATTCCTCCCTGGTTTGATTATTTGTCTCCTCTTGCTTGGTGGCTTTGCACCTGATTAATGCTCTGCATGGCATATTAACTCCAAAATCTACCAAATCGCTTCTGTAATTCACAGCCACTTTTTTTTTCTTATCCTGCAAAGTGATTTGATGTCGTGATCCCTGTTAGAATGACTGAAATTTCAATACTTACTGTCAGTAAATTAATGTGTTTGAAGAGAATCAAACTCACACTGAAGTGATTTGATAAAACACATCAGCTGCAGTGAGATAAATATGCTGGTGAGCGGGGTTCAGATGTTGGAATATGTGAATGATTACGGCGCAGAGGGCCCTGTTTGGATGAAAAAGTCGCAGCCTTTTACGTCGAAGCGCTGAGCCAAGGCAAACGTTTTTGTCAGAAAGGCTTCCTCTGGCCCTGGAGGTTTAATGCTGACTTCAGGGCTGTAATTATATACATACAGGAGATAACACCTTGAACAGTTTCAGTTTAAACAGAGTTTAAGTCTGACCAGATGGATGAGTTGTCAGCTAGTCAGAGCCGTACCAAAGTGGATTGTTTCTGTCTTCAAACAACTCTGATCTCAATGTTTTATTAAAATTTACATTGCAACTTATAACCTTTCCATTACACATAACCACAGATTTTTATGGAAAACATGCAATGCCAAATAAATAATATTTTCACATGATTAAATGGCTTTTGGTGTCTGTGTTGTGACTGACTCTCAGCTACTACTACACCAAATTTTAGCTCAGTGTATATAAAACTGACTGTTAAGCTGTGACAGCCATCTTGAATCATCCAAAAACATTTCAACAATTACTTTCGGACTATTTTAATGCAATCTGTCCTGTGACACATGAGATATTTTGCTAACAGAAGGTCAAACAAACACACACTTATACAAGCAATCGCCCACTCTTCATGGTAGCAGGTGATAAAAATGTGTGTGTGTGGGGGGGAACAAGTTTGCAGCTGAAATAGTGGCTGAAAATCTACCAGGAGCACAATAAATTGAGGGTTTGTGAAGATAATTTTCTCCGTGAAGCAGATTGATTGTTCTTTCAATGGCTAAAATTATTTTAAAAGATTGCATCACTTCTCCATGCTTTGATTATTTGTCGATGTCAAATTCTACACTGTCAAGAGTTACACTCGGTTTTATGTAGTTTCTGTAAAAGCTTGAATTATGACATCATACTGACTAAAGGCAAGCAGAGAGACGAGAAGTGGGGCCTTCTCTTTTTTTCTTCGAACCATTAGAAAGCGTTTCCTGCACACAAATGACCATCAGTTGCAAAATAACGCCATCAAATGAGAGCGACTGAAAAAGAATACTGTTTGAAATAAAGCATTGCTGCGGAGTCTGGTGTAAAATGGAAGACGGAGCCACGATGGTACACCCAAACACTACGAAATGAGAGCAATTACATGCTTCTTTTAACTCCCTCTTCTCAATAAAGATCATTCACCAGGCAGAACCATCTTCTCTGGAATGTGTGATTGGGAATCAGGAGACTTTAAATCCCTGTCCCGGACACTCCATTCATCTTTAACAAACCACTAGTTTGGGCACCACTGGTTTGGAGATGAACCGCTGAACCAGATGCCTCAGTTCGTCTTTCTTTCTTTTAAAAATAATAAATAAAAACAAATGCATGGAACCCCAAATCAGGCAGGCACATCACAATTTCTCTGAGGCAGTGAGGCATCCCACACCTGCATCTATTTTTATGGGGGTCAGAGGGCCAAAAAAATAAAAAATAAAAAAACTAAACACATGCAGGACATTGTGTGTGTGTCACATGAGCTAAAGGAAGTGATTGTGTTGTCACATGAGGTGCAGACTAACCTTTAGGAGGCAACAATCCAACTTTGAGATGGCCCTTTCTGTGGCGACATGCATGGAGAAACCTCTGGGATCAGATGGCATTCACTGTGTGATTCCTTATCATAACACCATTTTCTCCCTAATATTCGGATGGAGCTTGGATTATACAAAGTAAACCATTATTCTCATGATATAGACGGGGCAAAAGATGGATGTAAATGCTACACGGTCTGCATGAGAACCACCATTGCATGATTTTGCCGTATTCACCATGTTCTAAATATGACTGATGGTGATAGCCAGACTGTTGAATTACATTTCCATATAGATTTACATTCCCATCAATACATAATAGGTCTGAGGTCTGTGTAAGGCACTAACACACACATTTTCTGACATTTTATAGCTACTGTTTGTGTCTCACTGAAAAAGATTTTATCATAAAATGGTCAGTGAAGGAGTTGGGTCTTTTGTGCGCAGTAAGAAATGTGATGCCTTGAAAGTGAAGCAGTCCAATTGACTAATCTGTCTTATTTTGATAAGAACATTTTATAATCGGTGTGCAATTTTGTAATTTTCAGTTAATCTCAGAGCACAATGAATTTCCACCAAATGTTGACATTATGTTTGCATAACAGTCAAGCTCAAATGATATTGTTATAGAGATTTCTTCTTTTATGGCATGCTATTTTTTTATACTATAGATCATGTAAAAAGGCAAGCAGAGAATTAGGAGTTAGGAGGTGGGGCAGACACCTAGACCATGAAGAAAATGATTTTTGATGTTGCCAAAATATCTTGTGATTGTTGGTATGTTTACTACTCAGATTTATTATCATTGACATATTAATGTACATTAAAAAAAGTAATTTAAACAAACCAAAACTAGTGATATTATTGATATTTTATTTCACAGCACTTTTAAATTACACAAAAACAACACATAGCACATCTGTCTCAAAATACCATGATATTATATATATCTTTTTAAACAACTGTTTTCAGATTTTTTTTTTAATGTTTTTAAAATGAAAAGACCTTTCTAGAATTCTGAAAGCTAAAGTGAGTTCAGACTCACGCTTTTGGTCGGACGCAGGGAAACGCTTCTGTCGGTCATCTTATTTTGGTGGGATAAACCCGGAAGTTGTTTGCCTTCTTGAAAACAGGTAAGCAGCAGATGTGAAGTCTCTAGCTTACTGGTATAGGTAAGTTTGTGCATAATGACTTCAAATATAAAACATACAAAGACGTTGCTTTGAGCTCCGGTACTTCAGCTCCACGTTTTTTTCTTTTCTTCTCTCTGTGTTAGAGCTTAAAGTCTCTCATTGTTTACATCCATCCGACCGGCTAACTTGAAGACACGTGTACAGAGACAGCAGTCCCATGTGCTAAGGTTATTAGCCGAGCTGTAGAAATAAAGCCAGGTTTATTTTTCAGCGGTAGAGTCTCCGTTGTATGTGTTTCATGGCGAGGTGCATTTAAAACACTCATCAGCTGTTTCATAAAGAGCAATTGTGTGGGTACTTCAGTCTGCTAGCTCGTTAGCCCTTCGATGCTAACAACAGTCTAGTTCAGAGCTACTTCTCGCAACAGATTTATTTCGTTTTGCGTGCTGTTGTAGTTCACTCTGTTTACTGAAATAGATCCGTTGCTTTATAGTTTGCATTCTCTTGAATATGCATATTAGTTAAAAGTACCCCTAGATTATTTATTACATTAATTTTCACTTGGTGTTTGGACAAGTAACATCCTGTGTCAAACCAGCTATCAAGGAGAAATTCAGATGTTTTTAAATGTAGTTATTATGAAGTTGAGTTATTTATTACTATTTGAAAAATTTCAATAGGCATAGGTCCATGCTAGATGCCATAGTGTGACTTTAGTTAAAATTTGGATTGTTTATTGAATACCTATATTTTTGAATTGTTTCAAATGAAAGATGATCTCAGTATAGATTTCATAAACCAGTTTATGTTAACATGGATTATTTCAACTGTGTAAAACTTTTTTTATTGAATTTATTGTGTACTGATGCAGCTACTAACAATCTAGTGATATATCGGTAGAAATAGTATTAAAAATGTCAGCTTTAATAGTTCACACAAAACTATCACAATGACTTTATTATAATATTAATGGGTTATTAGGTCTCTGTTGTTATTAGCTCCAGTGTTTGTTTCCTCACAGTCCATTTAAGTCCCCATGAAATCCAAATTAAGTTTTACATTTTTTGTATGTCAGATGTTTGCAGTGGCTGTTACAATAAAGAGTTTGTAAATGTCCAAAATAACATTGCAATTTTCACAAAACCAATTGGAAAGTTTTGGTGCAGAATGCTTAATTGTGTCTGCTCAGTGCAGTCCAGCTGATTATTTACAGCAAACTAATTTTTTTTTCAAAGGGAGTATGTGCAAAATTGATTACCATTTTCTGAAATATTATGTATTCTCCCGGTACATTTACAGTGACACATTATACATTTTATGGTGAGTGACAGTTTATTTAAACTTTTAGGGTAATTTCATACCAGGAAAGTCTTTTGGTCCACTTGTTTGATCTGAACCAAATAACGGACTTTATTTAATTTAATTTTTTCTATTTGGTGCAGTTTGCATTCGCATTGTGCTTTTTGCAAGCGGACTATAATTTAAAGCCACAATAGACGCAACTGACTATTAAGAAATCAAAGGCAGCTCATTCAGTGACAGTTTTACAATGATATACTTATAATTTTGGGACGGTGTAAGTCAAATGCGTCCCGCAACCTAAATGAGACAAGATGCTCCACGTTCCCTGATCCACAATGGCTCATATTTTGCAGCGCAGTCTTAGCTTAGCAACGGTGGCTTGTGAAGTCCAAAAAGGTGCATGTTTCTTGTAGTTTGTTCGGTTCGAGGCTGGTCTGTATTCACACCAGAGTTCGCTTGGAAGCGGACCGAGACCACCTCAAAAATGGGTCTCGGTCTGGTTGTTTGATCTGCACCAGGGTTCGCATGAGTGTATTCACACCCACATAAAACATACGGACCAACAAGGAAAACAAACTGGTCCATTTAAAGCGGACCAAATGTGTCAGCTGTGTATACACCCTTAGTTTTATGCATTCACATCAGTTACTAAATGTTGTTTTTGCACTTTTAAAACAGCGACAGGGAGAAATTTGACCAGTAAAAGGAGTCACATAAGCTACGGATGGAGGTGGAAAGCCATTTTTGTCAGTTTTCATGATTGTAAATTATATCTTAGGCCTGTGAATAAAAATGTCAGTGGCAGAATCATTGGACTTGATAAATTAATTTTACATATTTCCATTGAAGCTTTCAAACTAGACTTAATGTGTCATTATGTAGTACCTATACAGCTAAAGGGAATTCAGCCAACACTGTCTATAATTTAAACCTATGATATTTTTTCTATGACGTAAAAATGTGAGAAAACCCCTCTCAGCAAAAAGCAGCAAAGCAGCAGTCTTAAACATGTAGAGTCTAGGTAGTCCTGAGCTGAGTAGTCAGAGCTTTAATTAGGCAGATTAAGTAAAATCAGTCACCATTGTTGATGGACCGTGACTGTTCTGGAGCTTTAAGTGCACCACATTAAATCCCACCACAGTAAAATACCATTGGTCATTTGTCATCTCCCTGTTCCTGTACGCTGCTGTACTTTCAACACAGGACTGTTGCTCCTTACCAGGCGGTAAGACTCGACTTTCTGTCCCTCTAATCCCTGGTGGCCGGCTTGTGACCATGTAGCGTGGCGTTTATGCAGCGTGCACGGCCTGGGGGCCAATCATCTCCAGCCATCATGGCACAGACACGCAGGACTGGACAGAGCAATGGGCCGATGCCCCTTCCACGTCCTCTGTGTATCTCTGTGTGTGTGAGAGTGCGAGTGTCAGCGACGGGGATTTAGAAAATTAACAACACAGTGTTTCATAGAGTGCAGTGAGTAGAAGACTTAACAGCTCCAGACACAGTTGTTCTGAGCTGGATGTGAGTTTTGTTTTAAAAGTTGGTTGAAATCGGAACCTGACAGGTGATAAACGTTGATCTGCGCTTTCCTATCAGCACAGTCTTGATTGAAAAGACTACAGGTTCAAGTCTTAGTGCAGATGATTCATGCTCTCTCAACCTTCTGCTTTTCAGAACAAGAAGAGAAGATCTTGTAATTGATGTTGGCTTGAGTCCATTTCACTTCTTTTGACTGAGAAATACTTATGAGAATAATATAACTAGAGAAGACTTCTTGGTAAATCATGTTACAAGTTCAATTTATCAAGATTGTCTGTTAGCAAAATAACTTGTGACCCTCTGGACAAATTAACTTTACAGGAAAAATCATTGAATGTACATCTACAACAGTCACTTCATTTCGGGATGTTTGCTACAGCTAATAAACATTAGCCAACACAAAATGACTAGCTCAGTCAGTTTAATTAGCATTGAGCTAAAATTTGATCTGGTAGTAGCTGAGGTTCATTTATAGCACATACTGAGCATGACGTCGCACAATATCGCCTGAGAAGATTAACAACAAGTTTTCAAGGTTTTTCACGGTTTGACCAAAACAGATAGCTCCATCATTACTCAACAAAATAAATCTTATTTTAAAACTGAACGTGTTTGTGTAGAAGCCTCTGAGATTAAATAAATTGAAACATTTATTAAACAGCTGATGGGATTTTTTTTCTGTTTTATTCTGTGGTATTATAACATCTTTGTCAAAATATTTTTCCCACTTTATCTGACTTCATAATCCTGTCAGTGTCACCACAGTTTTCTCACTGTTTGTTGTCTTTTGTGTATGTTTACACATAACAGACACTGTGGGAAAACACTTACTTTCTGTGTGTTGAACTTGTGCCAAACTGAGACCCTCCATTAACTGAACAAATGTCTAAGGTAATCTGACCAAAGACAGATCAGTCCTCATGTTCTGTGTGGGGGGGATAAATAATTGTAACTTGGTCCGACAGAGTCCAGTTTACCATTTTAATTTGAGGAGTTCAATCAAACATGACAAAGTGCCAAGACTATTATAAAATAGTGCGTATATTAAATGTTTGGTAAAGATTAATTTAATTTTCTAAGTGGATTCCATTGAGATACGCAACATGATAATATTTTGTTCACTCTGGTTGCTTTAATATGTTTGTTTTTTGTGTTTTTGTCTTTGCAGCAAATTTTAGCAGCAGGGTGCTGCTGACTCCCCATTTAGGAGTGTTTTTGTGGGTCATGTTTATGTTTTAAACCTTTTTCGAAGGGAATGTATAGTGCCGACCACATCCGCGAAGAGTTGGAGGATGAGCTCTATCAGGATGGAGACTCGGAAGGGTCAGAGGTCAACAGTGAAATGGAGTTTCACCTCTACAGCCAGCTCCACTACTCCTCCAATGCTGCAGAGATGGAGGAGCAGGGGGATGATGAAGAGAAGGAGAATGACCGTTTGGGTCTGGATAACCAGCAACATGAGATGCTAGGAACGACTGGAAGTGGTGACAGTAATCTGCCTTTAAAAAATGACAATAAGCTTTCATCATCTAATGATGACAGCCTCCAGCCAACCAAAAAGAAGAAGAAAGTCAAGAAACAGAAGATTAAGAAGAAAACTGACTCCAAAGATCAGAGATTATCCTCACTGTGTTGTGAAGAGGTTATTGTGATCGATTCCAGCCCTGATTGCATCTCCATCTCTGATGAGTCCTCTGATGATGATGATGGGGTCTGTTCACTCAAGGGTCAAGGCTCACACAAGCTGCTGACTTCAACACCGGCACAACAGGTAGATGACAGACTATAAGAATTACAACCTCTAAGTTTAGATTTAAATATGTTAATCATGAAAAAACAAAGTTTATTTGCCTTTTTTCCTGACTTTCTTTGAAACACTAAAAGCAGCCACATAATGTGATTTTAATTTATTCTATGTTCTGAAACAGGCATGCTTTGAACTTTTTTTTATACTTCCTATAGACATCAACATAAGTTTTATGAGCTCTTAAATTTTTTTTTCAAAAGAAAATTAAACTTAGACAGACTGTAGGCCTTCAGATAAGTTGCCAAATAAAATTTTGGGCAGAATTTCTTATTAAGGTCAGACTGTGCCAGTCTTTCTGTTCATCCATCTTTGTAATATACCAGGGTTTTTTTTACTTTCAGGTTATTGCACTGGTGTCTGCTTTTTCCAGCTTACATGTACATCCAGAGGCTCATCTGAGTTTAATGAATGTTGATGCTGAACAGATTTTTCGGTAGAATTTTGGAGAAGGTCGTCGATACTTTACGAACCTTACACAAGCTTACAGAATTTACGAGGTAAAAAAAGTTACCAACGGATCATTAATTGTGAAAACAACACACCAGCTACTGTAATATTGCTACCCACCCCCTCTATCCAAGCCAGCACAGTTTATTCTTCACGTGTCTTCCTCTGGCTTCATAAAATAAATTCTGTCTGATGCTTAGGAAGCTTACGAAATGTATGGAGGGGGTAAAAATAAAAGTTACTGATAGAAATCCTGAGACGTCACCAGCTGATAGAGGGCATTGTAAAGCAGAACCACGCTCTAGCTAAATGCCTGATGCTAAAGGTGGTGTCTTCTGGTTGTGACTAGTTGGTAAATCTTTGAGGAAGTCCAAAATGCCTTGTGACATTCTTAGTGGTAAATAGTTTTCTCCCGTGTTGCATTGGTGTGCACTCCCATTGCTTGAGTTTTGAACATGTTCTGAAAATTTGGGCGACAAATTTTCTCTCAAAGTAATCAGAGTTGGTGTGGGAACAAGGCCGTACATCTTGCAGTCATTTGGTTGAAAACACGCAGGTTTCAGAGTGGCTACAATGAAAATTTCACGCATTTCCTCAGAATTTTCACACACGTGAGCCTCCTACAGTCACGGCCCAGTGAGATGTGATTACCTAGAGCTGAAGAGCATACAGCAATACAACAAAAAAACCTATAAGACAAACATTTTAGTTCAGTTAGATGACTTGTGTTTTGTCACTTTTGACTTGAAGTTCGGTTTGGTCAGTTTCATTAAGGAAACAAGTGAAAACAGTTTTGACCTAAAACACATTTGTTTTGTTACATAGGAAATACAAAAGAGAAAAAGAAGCTCCGATGTGCCAGTGACCGTGGTTTCCTGCAGCTCAGCTGATTCAGAATCCACATTAGAGTCGGACTCATCAGATTCAGACGGTCTAGAAAACTGGATGCTGCTCGGTCAGGGGATGCAGGATGGAGACCAGTCCATCTCACTCAACCTGGAAGGAGGTTCTGTCAGCAGCGCAGGTGTGTATTTGTTTCTGTGTCTACTGTCTGTGCTATGTTTGTTTTGATGAGTTTTTGTGTATTTAAATACCAAGAAAATTAAACAGGTGAATATATATATATATATATATATATATATTTTTTTTTTTTGACCCAAATAATTCAGAACACTTATTCTACCTGCTGCGCAGTGATAAGAAGCAGATACAGCAATATCCTGCCGGTGAACAATCTGTGATTGCATGTTTGTATGTGCACCATCTGTGTCGGCATGTTTACAAACTTGTAAGCTCTTAGCATTTCTGGCACTGTCTGCCCAGCCGCCCTCCTCTCTGGTGCATCTTTAAGTATGCCTGTGTGCATTAACGCGTGTGTGTGTGTGCGTGCGCCTCTGTGTCTGTGTGTGAATACTTGTGTTTCTAAAATATTCCAGGTCTAATCAGCATGCATGTGTACATCTACGTAGAGACCAACAGTCGTAACGTTAATGCCAAAAACAAACAAACACAGGAGAGGAGGGAGGGGCAGGCAGGAAGAGATGGGAGTAATCAGAAATGGAATAAAAATGTTCCCTGCAAATCTCTTCAGATCTACACATTATCTTATCCTGCAGCCTCAGCATACTCTGCAGCTCCTCTTCAGCTCTCCCTCCTCCTCCCTCCTACCTAACACTCTCCCATCTCATTCTTTTATCCTATTTTCTCACTATTGTGCCCCCCGCTCTCCCTTTCTCTGTGTCTCCCTCACCATTTCGTCCTCATTTGAATTTCCCTGGGCTGATGTTTCTGCAAGAGTGCTCACTGCCTCTTTTACACACAGCCGGGCGAAGGGTGGTGGGGGCTTCTGGAGCTGGTGGGATGGCTTGAGGTTTTTGGCCTGGTTTTGGGAGGAAAGAAGGATTTTAGGTCTCTGTCTTTCGTCTGGCTCCTCTCTGTGATCTTTGGAGCTTGACCTCATGTCTGCACATTGGGGGTCATGGGTGTGGTGTGGAAGGAGACTTAAAGTCAGAGCAATGGGGGAGGGCTTTGACGAAAAAAAGAAAAGAACAGAAAGGCAAGGAAATTAAGGGACGGGCCTCAGTAGTCTTGAACTGTGCCCAATTCTTTACTACCGACTAATTTAAAGCTGTTCTTGGGTTTATTGTGTCTTCACCCTGACCTGATTAAGGAAAAAAAATCATTTGTAAAGGCAAGTTGGCTATAAATTTATCCCAACCAAGATTTGTTTGTGCATCGAAGTGAAATGCTTGAGCACTTTTTAAATAACCACTGTCATTTTTCACTGTCGTTTTGTCGCAATGAGTACGTGTGTGAAAAATGTGTTGTAATCTGCTTTAAAAGTGCCAAAGAAATGCACAATTTTTAGATTTTTGAGTTATCTTTGAAACAATATATGATGTCTTACGAAATAACCTGGTATTTTTGATAATGCTGTAAGATTTTGTTATTTAGTCTTTCATTCAAACGCTGCAAGTGTCTTAAAACATTTTGTTTCAAGGACAAAATCTTGAGAAATATCTAATCTGATACATTCATGTGGCTGCAACTTTTTAAAATCTGCTTATTTTTTTGTGCTAACACACACACACACACACACAAATAAATTTAGGTATGATAGAATATGGCATTAAAGTGAACTTCATAGTTAAAGCTGGTTTTTTTTTATTTATGTTGATGATCAGTAGTTTCACAAATAATTGTGACCAGTTGCTTTTAATGTCACGTTGAATTCCAGTGGAGAGCCTTAGACTAGCGCCATTTCTATTTAATATCAAATACAAGTCTGTTTAAAGGGTTTCTCTTTTGCATTTGGGTAAAATTTCAAAATATTCCCACAATGATTAAATAGTCCAGATTCTTTAAATGAATCTATGCCAATACATGTTTATTAAAATTCACTTTTCAGGTACCCCCAATTAATTTTATTCACCCATTAAAACCCATTAAAATGAAATGACAACACTGATCACAGATGTGATGATAAAATTGGTCATACACTTATTGTTAAGAACAATTTTCTAAAATTAACACGTCATATATGTAACATTAGTGTTTTGTGTGCTAACTGCAGTAAGCTACATACAGTATTCAGATTAGGTTGTACATTGTGTACAGACAACATGCAGTGTGACATTTGGACACAGTTCAGATTCTCCCTCCTGCCTTTTTTGTCTGTCAGAGCGGCTTTAGTACTGTTTCAAAGCAAAATTTCATGGTGACTACATTCTTCTTTTGAGGATTTGTTTCACCAGAACATTTATCCCGAGAGAGTAGAGGCAATTTTATTTTACTCAGCTATGGCTTGTTTAAAGTCTTTTTTTTATGATTACAATAACCTTTAATGTTTATAAGCTAGTGCTTCAGCAGTGATTTATGCTTTTTCATTTTTGGGGTCATGTTAGGTGTTTAAATTTGTAAGTGTGTTTTGGTGACAGGTTTGCACAGCAGTGACTAATATTATTTGAATGCCTAAAACCCATCTCTGCACCATCAACAAATCACATTCACTACACTTAGTCTCTTCTTCTCACCTAGAAAATTGAATCTGTTCCTCCTCTTCCTCCCTGGTCCTGCCTCACTGGTACTGGCACACAGTCCTGTTCTTTAACCACCTAACCTTCTTTTGTTCAGAGTCAGGTATGTTTAGCAAATAATCAGACTCTAAGGAGCTGTCCACAAGAGGTGGGTAAAAATATTGATTCATCAATGCATTGCAATATTTTTTTTCCTCTTATGATTCAGTTAAATCCCTTTGTCACAATTTCATGTTTGTCATGATTTTATGTTTGTACTCCATATGTAGAGCCATTATTATTGTGCTACTGCTTTATTTTCAGATATTTTATTTCTCAAAAATGTGCATGTATACCATTTCTGTTTACATGACCAAATATATAAATATCTAAAAAATATCCACAGAGTCTCTAATGAAATATTTGTACACGTTTTTTTTATGAAATACGTAGTGAAGCATTTAAAGCGATATCAAATTGAATTGATTTATGACCCAGAAAATTGAAATCTAATTGAATTGTGAGGTTGTTAACAATACCCAGCCCTACTGTCCACGTGTCCTCTGATCTAACCTACAACCATCATTGGTTGTATCATTTGGTTCATCATTGGTCATTCTTGTGTTGTTTACATTTCACACCCAGTGTGTCAGTTTTGTGCACATGCTCCATGGCTTGTTTCCTGTTTTTGGTGCATTTTTGTAGCAGCGTTACAGCACCACATGCAAACCATATTTACCAATATTTTGGTTCATTTTCAGTGTTTCTGCATGGATAAACTAAACTTGAAGAAACTGCATTTAGGAAAGCCTAGGAATGCTCAGCTGGTGACCAGAATCAGCCTATTTTCAGTTTGATCAATGTGATCGATTACAGTTCAATCCGAAACTCAAAAATACCCTTTTATTCCTGGTTTATGTACATGCTGGTGCTAAACACTAATTTACACTGACTCTAATGGGTTTGACTCGTAGTTACTGTTATAGTAAATGACTAAAAAACACGTGGTATTCTTGCAGCTCATTTTCCTACTCATTAACACTTGAGCTGAGCTTTTTGATGTGGGTACCACTTAAACAGATGTATATTTAAATTCAAATATTTATATGTGGTAAAGATTTAATAGTTTAGGTATAACTGTAATTTGCCATGAATATAGTTAGTTACCATTAAATAAACAAATCATTGTAATGAAAGTTACATTTTAAGATTTTTTTTACCACAAATATATTTGAACACTGTTGCAGTTTTCTTGTAGAGAAAACAGTAATATTTTGAAGCATTGGAAAAGAAAACGAAAGCTGTTTTATAAATTAAATGTGTTTCAATTTTTTTTGGGGTGGTATTTGTGTAAATATTGTCACCCAGTAATCTGTAGAATATTATTTATGGTTTTCCAGATTCATAAAGAGAAATCTCTTTAGCCTGGTAATATTTTTGGAGAAAATAACATTTTCCTATATTAGAAACATATTATTATAGGCACACAGTTACTTTTTCAATTCATTCAAAATAAAAATTATAACAGGAATAAATAGTTATTGGAAACACCCTAAATTGGTTCATAATTATTAATGGCATGCCACCGTTTTACAATAATCAGAATTTAGAACCAACAAAGAGAAGTGTGATTAGTGTATCTTTCGTCTACACACATGAGCCTGGAGGCAGTCACCTGGTTGTAAGTGGCAGCTGTTGGTAGGTGCTTCTGTGAGGATATGAAAGAAATAAGACAAAGTAGCCAAAAGGGGTTAAGTTGGGCCCGCCTGCCAGTCCAGCAGCTTTGCAGCAGTGACCAGACGGAACAAGAGACAGAAAACAGGGCGTCCCAAAATCCAGTTCAGTGCCTCTCCCACCCAGAAAAGGTGTGTGAGTGTGTGTCCCCATGAAAGAGTCCTGGGTGTAGGCGGGGTGAGCTGAAGCTAAACTTGAATTGTAAGTGGTTAAACTTCACTCAGTTGTCCCACTTTTTCCCTTCTCTTTCTGCCCCCTCAGTTCTTCTCTTTGCCTCCTTGTCCACCCGGTCTTGGTCGCTGCACACCAAACTTTGTTACAGGCTTAGTGAGTCAGCTCTGGTCTGCTATCGGGGTGGCCGATCACATCAAAGTGTGCCTGACTCTGTGTGTGTGTGTGTATGTGTGTGTGTGTGTGTGTGTGCGCGCAGCTTCTGCAAAGAAAAGTCTTGGAAATTGAGAGAAAGAAGTGTGTTTGTATCAGAGAAAAGTAACAAAGGAGGAGGAAGGTAAGCTCTCTTCTCTTCTCTTCTCTTCTCTTCTCTTCTCTCCTCTCCTCTTCTCTCCTCTCCTCTCCTCTCCTCTCCTCTCCTCTCCTCTCTCCTCTCCTCTCCTCTCCTCTTTAAGCCATGTTTTACAGTCTTCTCATGCTTTTCAGATCATCTTGCTGTAAGAAAACTGTTTCCTAGTCTCAGATTAGTATGCCAGCAGTAACAGTCATGTTTTCAGGTTGGTATCTGTGTGAGCAATGCTGCTTTGGGCCTGCAGCTTGTTTC